CGCGAGCGTGAGTAGAGTGTGTGCCTTGCTAGTCGGAACGGATAGCCAGGCCCAGCTGTAGTATGACCTGTTTTCTTCAGACGCGTATGCGCGTATACGCATGCACATTCCCGGAGCGCGCGTATGCTGTACATGGCGGTGCCTCAGAAGTCTTACACTATGTGTGCGCGGAAGTCGTACACTATATGTGCGCGGAAGTGTTATATTCTGTATGCGCGGAAGTCGTGTTCTCTGAACACTGTCCTGGCAGGCGTTGTCTTGGTTCACGTTTTTTTCGTGGTTAACGTGGGATCTCGTAAGTTCAAGTACGAGTATGTGTGAGATACTTCGTATGGAGATGTATGCTTACTTGTGAAAGCGAAGTTATTATAGTCCACGGTATGAGAACGTATTTCTGTTCGAGGGCCTCGTATGCGTGATGGATGAGAGGATAGCCAACGGTGTGCTCCTGCTGCTCCCGTTGACGCTTCGAGTGCGTGATGCGACGCAGCGTTTCGCTGGCACTAGTGCGGCACGACGGCTCGCTGTGCGAGTGCGGCACGCCCTATGCTGTTGTTTTGACCACGTAAGCTTGCTTCATGGCAGCTAACTGTGGCGTGTGCTGGTTTGTTTTAATAGCCACGTGCGCTTACCTTATGCCTACCGTAGAGGCGAGCAATGAGCGTCGTGTTGACGTTTGCTATGTGAGCAATCCTAGCGGTATGCTAATGAATACTGGTGAGTCGTACCCATTTTATTATGATTCTGGTGCCCAATGTATTGCGCCAAAATTCAATGGCTAAAACGTGAATAATATTGTAAATTAAACCGAAATCGGTCATGTTAGTGTGCAAAATACCCTTTCACCCAAATGATCATGTGAGGAAGATCCCCGATCACCAAGTTCCTCGAGAGTTAGGTGTCATAGTTGATGACAGCGGTAGTGAAACCAAATCTGATTAAGAATTGCTTGTGTACTCATACTTGAAAACTTAAACCGCACCTCATGAGTAACATGTGGCGATGGGTCTGTAGGAAATCGTTGGTGCGATTTCTGTCTGTGTTGATGCACAGAGCGCTTCATGTGTTGTAGCACATATTGCGTTAGTTGTGCGATTCTTGTCTGTGTGGTGCATATTTGGCGGCATATATGTAGAGAATCGTTGGTGCAATTCTGGCATATGTGGCGGCAGATGTGTTGTAGCATATTTGGCGGTGGATATGTGGAGAATCGTTGGTGCGATTCTGGCGATGTAACGGCAGATATGTAAAGAATCGTTGGTGCGATTCTAGCCTGTGTTGGTACACAGAGCCCCTTGAGTAACGTAGCATTTGTGACGGCAGATATGTGGGGAATCGTTGGTGCGATTCTGGCATATGTGACGGCGGATATGTAAAGAATCGTTGGTGCGATTCTGGCCTGTGTTGGTGCACAGATTTCAATGAAATTTTCACGAGTTGAATATGCATTGCTTATGAATTATGGTAAAAGTAACAAAATTGTGAGAATTACTGTATTGGATTCACAATAAATCATGTTGTGCAGGAAGCACTGTGTATGAAGCCTTAATGACAAGGCATTGTCAATTATGACAGTTGACTATTGTATTTCGACTCAGGAGAAGTAAAGTACCATTTGGAATCGACCTTGTTTCTATTGGCAGAATAGCCGAGCTAGATTAATCTCTGAGCATATTTTGTCTACAGGCACTGCAACCGAGGACGGATGCTAGTCGGAGATGGCCGTGTCGTGGATTGATGGTTCACTGTCCCATTAAGTAAAGAGAATTATTTAAAAGAGCTTAATATAATTTATCAAATAGCGGTCTCTAACGGTTTTTCAAACAATCTCATAAACAATTTAATTAAAAAGAAACAAAAGCATGTTGTTCGCAACTCTCTGTACGCGGTTCAACCTCAAAGTGTTCGTCGATATGTGAACAGTTTGACTACTTAGGCCCCATATCTGAAAAAGTAGCTAATACTCTTCGACAAAACGGCGTTTATATGGCGTTCAAAACAAACAATTCTCTTAGAAATATCTGTAATAATAAAGATAAGTTGGATATTCGTCAAAAGTCGGGTGTTTACAAACTTGTTTGTGACGAATGCCACGCCGTTTACGTGGATCAGACTGGTCGCAGCTTCGAGACACGTTATAAAGAGCATTTAGCCGCGTACAGGAATTGCAATCCCGATAAATCTCATTTTGCTAAACATCTTTTGGACACTGGACACAACCTAGCCAACGACCACTCCTTTAAAGTCTTACATACGTGCACACGTGTAATAAAGGGCTGCGACTGTGTGTGCTGGAACAAATAGAGATATTAAAAAGTAATAATACTAACATTGCACTGCTGAATGAACAAACAAATGTTTCTAACTCACCTCTCTTAAATATCTTTAAGCCTGCTCTCTAATAGCAGACAGCCTCGTAATATGATCGTTTGTTACCCTCATGGTGATCGGCGATTAGTTGCGTGGTTGGAGGGTGGGCGGGCGTAGGCGGGCATTGCGCGGCGGTTTGTTTTTAATTTTACAAACGGCTGCTTAAGTCCGGCGGTGATTGGTCGCATGTTTTATCGCATGACGCGGTCGCTCGCTCCTTAAGCAGGGAGCGGTTGCGTCAGCGGTCTATATAAAACGCAACTGTTTTGGCTCACCGCTCACTTAAGGGTCAGCCACCGTAGAGTCTACATCACCTGAGGATGCCTCGTGTAGAGGCGAAACACGTGTCGTATTGTCGTCAGTGGTGTGTCTTTCCTAGTGCAGTTGTGTTGGGAGTAGTGGTGCTGGGATTAGTGGTGACGGGGATGCACGCAATTGAGGGAGGGCGGGAGGTGCTCTTCATACTAGGTAAGACACGACATTTTATATTATTTTATAGAGCGGATGTTTGTAAAGTAATTTCTTTTAAAGCTTTTATAGAGTATTGTTGTCAAAATGCCTGAAAAAAAGAAACCGTTGGTAAGCAAAACATCTTGGAGTATCGGAAGCAGAGGCTCTCGCTAGAGAGTAGTATGTTCCTTGATCGGAAGTCGCAGCGCTAGACTTATTTTCATCTTTTATTTTCTTTTTCTCTCTAAAAAACTGTGCCATCAATTTTATATTTGCCTTTGTATTTCAAGTTCGTGTAGCCCCATAGTATCGCCGATAGTTTTCCATGCACCCTTTTTCATGTTTTTATTTTTGTAATTTTTATAGGACGTTGTGCTGCGTTTAATATAAATCAATTAACGTTTTGATTAAATTAATTCGTGAGTCCACGTGACAGACATGTTGCTTAATAATGTTTCCAACTGAAAGCGTACCCACAAAGCGGATAAATGTTTGCAACAAGCGTATTCTTTTAATGTTTACCGTCAAAATTAGAAACACGGCTTCCGACATTTTTCACAAGGTTTGTTGCCAAAACAAAGTAACTACGGAAACTTTTGTCACCAACACGTATTGACAACACAAAAATTGGCAATTTTAATTTGGTGACTCGGCTTAAGGTCATAGTTTTCAGTTCTCGTTTTAACATCAGAACTTCTACATATTGTTTCAGTACAAATATTTTTGTATCTTTTGAATCCTTGACTATTATTGGCTGAAGACATACTAGCTAATGTCACTATAAATGAAAAAAAAACTTACGAAACTACGATTTCCTTTTCCTGTGGCGATTTAGCACATTACATCCATAGAGTAATTTATAGTAGGGATGTTCGATGTTGTAGAAACATCGATGATGAAATCTATGTTGACATCGATAGCTCAACATCGATGTTCGATGTATATCCTAATCAAAACATCAATGATGGCCATTATCAATGTTTTTTGGACATCTATTTATTAGGTTAGAATTAGATGAATAAAAAATTGTCATGTTTCTATAGTTTATAATTAATGATTTAAAAGAAATTAATAAACAATGTAAAACAGTAGTTAAAATAAATTGGAAGAAGTTCACAAATATCTAGTTCATTTGTTACATAATCCAATATTTTTACCTATTAATTGAATAAATAGTAATTCTTAACAACTTAAAAATAAAGAAGGACCTTTCAATCTGTTTCTCTGTTGATAAAGGCTTGAGCCAGCTATTGAAAATAATTTAAAAATAAAAAAATTGTGCAGCTGACTTCAATATAAATTATTAGGGATAACTCAAAAACTATTGGTAAGACTTATAGGGGTCAAATTTATATGGGACCACATGACGAAGCACCAGCTTTCAAATAAAAAAAAATAATCATCGAAATCTGTTTACCGAGAAAGAAGTTAAAAAAAAGAACATATAGTTTTCTTGACTTTTGACAATACAATTGCTGGCTCAATGCCTCTTTCTACATTCAATTATAAAATATTATTAAAAAATATATCTTTTATATTAAAATAAATACAAACTCATGTCTAACCCTCCACCAAACACTCTGTATACAAAGTATTATAAAATGTTAATAAACTGGTTTTTATTATTAAACATTATTTTGCAACAAGAAATATTTAACATTTTAGTGGTTCTTTTTGAAGTCGGTAGATAACTACTCAGATGGCGTTGATGTAGCGATAGTGATCAAATATCTCACCGCATACCAATAACATTGTTCTAAACGTGCAGTTGGATCGTGTTTAAGATCAACCATCGGATTTTTTAAAAAACAACCGACAAAGAAACAGACAACCAACAACGACACCAATAACAAAACGAAACATCAGTGACAACTGCGACATTACAGTTGACACATGACAGTTAAATTTGATACACCATATTATGTTATGATATATTTTTAGGTTATCGATGCGTTCAAGCATTCTGAATTATTCAAAATTTTAAATATTTTAGAGGAGATGCAAGATTTAGTTGATATTGATTTCGCGGGTTCGCGGTGTTCGCAAATACCCAATAATCGATTATGGGTTTATTGACATCGATGTTTCGATGTTTGACATGTGGCAATATCGATGTTAAAACATCGATGTTTTCATTTTTGACATCGAGCATCCCTAATTTATGGTGTTGGGTTGGTAGGTGTTCTATTTAGCCATTAGCGTGTGTTGCCGCCATTTTCTCAATCGATTTCTTTCGGCTTAGCTTTGTGTTAAACAGCTACTGTTAATTAGTAAATATAACTTTGTGTTTAATACATGTTCCATTTTTAAACTTTATTAGGTGCCTGTGCACATAATTTGTTATTTTATATCTTAATTATTAAAAACTACAAGATGGGTGACCGTAAGTTCCAACTCACTATGTGCTTCTCTTTGATATTCGTTTTCTATTTCTTCATTATACATTATCATCGTTTTGTAGCTTATGCATCAAGTGATTACAATAGTGGGGGATATTCCTCTCATTATTCTGTGCCACCACCTACCGTATCTTCAGGGGAAAACAATTACAGCGGTGGTCAACAAGGGCAAGGAGGTTATGGTAGTGGGAGTAGTTATTCTGGACAAAGTTCAGGACAAGATTGGAATCAGCCAAGTTCAGGTAAGGATGTGGCGGTCGCGCCACAGGTAACTTAAATAATTATTAATGTTATACACAGTATACACATAAATTGCAAGTAGGCATAATTAACACCTCGCCGTGTAGTGACTGTAAGAATATGGACAACCCTATATCACACCGTGCGTATCGTAAGAGGCTAGAGAGGGAAACAAATCGGCAGCGTCTGTCTAATCACCAAAAATAAACTTTTTTTTTAAGCGTGACAACTAAGGTTAATATCCCTCCTATGTAGTAATTCATGGGGGAGGCCTGTAATGAGCAATGACCTTTTTTAGGTTGTAACAGTAATAATATAATTATTAACAATTATTATAAAAAAATTGTATTTATTTACTCGGAAAAAAGAAGTTTACAACAGTTTTCATGGGGAAATATTTAAATTTTAATATTACACCTAATATCTGATAGCTCTTTTTCCTTTTAATTACCTACTGGTGCTTTGTTCTGAGTGAATAAATTTCATCCAGCATCACTGCCACAGCTTAAATATATTTATTAAAGGTATATTTCTAGGCTTTGGTATTTTACTGTAGAGCTTTTATTTCTGCGTAAAAAATAGTTACACAAAACTATTTTTAAACTTCCTATTTTCTCTACTCCTTACTTTTTAAGCATTTTACTTAAATACTTTATTAATAGCTCAATCCCAATCACAGGTCTCCTTATTGCCATAGACTTAATTAATTCGGCTTAGCTTTCCATTGACTCCCATCGAGTTGGGGGTTGATACGTATATTTACAGAAAAGTTACACTATTATAAGCACACACACAAAGTTACAACATGCGGAAACGCGTAATTTTTGAGAAAAAAGTTATTGTTAATCAATTATTCTTGCATTGTTTATATCTAATCCTACCATAAAACTGACACCATTTTGTAATGTCATTGTCGTCAGTAGGGATGTCGATTCCTTCCGAAAAAGGTCGATTTTTAAATCAATTCAAATCGTAAGCTGATGTATCGATTCACAAAAATCGATTTCTAAAATATTTATATTTTTTTGTTTGCATTTATAATGTAAATATAATTCCATTTTATGAAAAACAAGAAAGATACCATAATAAATGATCTCTTATTGAAATTTGTTTTATTTTAACAGTACTAATTAGGGCAGATAACAAATAAAATAGGTTAGGTTCAACTTATGTCAAAGAACCGAATTGATTGAACCCGACTCCACCTGGTACGAGTCTGTCCTACCCCTAGAGTGGTTTTAAAGAGCCGGAGGCGCGTAGGGGGAGCAGCCTCCGCCTGCTGTAACAAATCGTAGGCATCGGACGAGCCGAAGCTGCGGAGGCGAAGAGGGATGCCTACGATTTGTTACACTAAGGCGTAGAGGCTGCTCTTCCCGCAGCGCCGGAGACGTAGCAGTCTCAAAATAGACACAGAAATCCTTCTGAATCAGTCTCCCTATATTTTATGATGAAGGGGATTTTTTTCTCATAAAATGGATTTATATTTACATTATAAATGCAAACATGAAAAAAATATAGATATTTTAGAAATTGATCTTTTTCGGAAAGAATCGACATCTGTACTGACAATAACATTAAAAAATGGCGTCAGTTTTATTGTAAGATTAGACATAAACAATGCAAGAATAATTGATTTTCAATAACTTTTTTCTCAAAAATTACGCGCTTCCGCATGTTGTAACTTTTCTGTAAAAATATGTATCAACCCCCAACTCGATGGGAGTCAATGGAAAGTCGTACCATTAATTCATCAGACTTATACATTATTTAAATAAGAGGAATATTTTCCAGTAACAACTTTATGCTATAGAACAGAAAACACAGTACACATATTTTCTGTTTTGCACAACTTTGTCAATGACAACCAACTGTTTTAAATGATGTAGATGCAAAGTCAAGTTAAATTTTCATACAACTTTCTTGAAAGTTCATCCATTTAGTACAAATAGTTAAAGCGTCCAACTGCTTTGAGCAACGTAATTTACTAAAAACCATATAGTTAAAGCGACACAAGTCTTTAATTTCTTTGCATTTGCAAATAAAACATGAAATAAAATTTATACTTAAATTGCAATCTTCACCTACTTTGTGTGTAGTTAGGTATACGAATATCCACTACCCTTTATCATCTCTAGGGTGGCTTAAGAGGCAACAGATTATTTGTTTGTTTCTCAACTAGAAAATGCAAGGCAACAGTCTTTCTTATAACAACTAGAAAAAAAATATGCAGTTGCCAAGTGTGGCAGCAATGGAAAATATTCCTCCTAATAGGCAATCTATGAAAAATTGTGTTTTTAAGTAAAGGTTTTGTTGAAAAGTATGTAGATTACTGTTTCCCCCCCCAAACACCTTTTAGTTGAAATCTGAATTTAGAACCTCACATTTGTATTAGAGTAACTGCATATTATAACTACACCAATCTATTGTCTAATGAAATAGCTTTTGAGGAAAACACCTGTGACACTAAAGTAAATTTATAACAGATGCATTTTGTTAATTTTGGTAAGAAACATTTATAATAATAATAATAATATAGCCATTTATTTCTAAAATTTAGGGTTGTACATTATTTTGAGTTACTACTGTAGGACCAACTAAGTACCTCAGCAAGTTGTTCATTTTGGCATAGGCCTCCAACTGCTATATCTGCAACATTAATTATATTTAAACCAGCCACTTAAATACTAGACTATAAAATGGGAAAATTACATTTTGCTATCACCTTCCATCCTAAAAAACACAGATTAAATTATTTATGTGGTTACACAATTTTTAGGTAGTAGTAATAATTATGGGAGCAGTGGTCAGTCAGGCAATGGCTATGGTCAAAACTACAATTCAAGCTATGGAAGTGGAAGCTATGATCGTAACAGTGGTGGTAGTAGTAGCAACTACAATGTAAGCAGTGGAGGTGATCGTGGTGGAAGCAACTACAGTAGCAGTGACCGCGGTGGTTCCAATTATGGAGGAAGTGACAGAGGTGGAAGCGGTTACTCTGGTGGTGATCGGGGAGGATATGGTGGGGGTGACCGATCCAGCTACAATAGAGATGGGGGAAATAGAGACAGTGGATATGGGTAAGTGATATTTTAAAAAGTATTTAATTTATTAATAAACCAAAATTTTATCCATATTCTTAATTGTTCCCTTCAGACCCCTTATTTGACTCAACCTCATTTTAACCTCTCTTTTAAATTACTTAAATTTAGTATTCATAGGTGTTAAAAACTTCCTTTTTTCCTTCATTCCTTCACTTGATAACAATGTGGGGATAAGTTGACATCTGCACTGACTAAAATTGTGTCTGATGTGATTAATTGTAATTGTAGTTTAGAAACAATATGTTTCCAAAAGGAAACTACAACTGATTTTTCCAACAAGGGTCCCCACAAAGAGAATAAATGCAACAAGCAATTTTGATGTTTACTGATAAAAAAGGGAACACGGTTCCCGACATTTGTTTACAACCACCACAAGGTAGTTACAGAAACTTTTGTCACCAACACGTTTTGACAACACAAAAGTTGGCGATTTTTCTTTCGTCGAGACCTGACAATATGTCTTCTCCCTCCCTAAAAGTTCCTCAAATTTTTGGAATAATATACAATTTTTTATATTTTAGGTGCTTACCAATAGTAAGTACTTTAGTGGTGCAAACTAACAATTCTATAAAACTGTTTCTAGCCTTATTATAATTTTGCTATTTGCTTATTTTTGGGTTTGTTTCAATTACTATCCTCTGTTCTCAAAAACTGCTGCTAAAATAGTTGTATTGATTAAGGAGAGTCTTATAGCTCTGTGTATCAATGAAAAATAATCCTATAAGAAACAGTCAAATTATGCATATATCCTATAAAAATATTACTCACCTAATAATTGTAAATGGGCTCTGTAGGTGCATATGAAGCAAAGAAATCTTTACTAATAAACCGGTTATTAATTTGTTGCCACTAAAAAAAGCTGGTGTGAATTTTCCCTAAAACTGTATTTACAACAAAATTAACAATATTCAAATTATTAAGTACAATGATCTAACTAATATAAAATTGACATAATATTGACAAAATTCTATGTGAGTGGTCATAAACGAAAGGTTAAAAGAACAAAATTGATGATCTTATATGTTGTTAAAAATGTCCTTGCTTATATTTATTAAATATTGTGTATCTACTTCTTCATGGACCCATTAAAGTCTACTGCTGGATCTCTCCCGTTGTAAGGATAATTTGACTTAATCATCAAGCTTGGCAGGCAGATCGCCGGTTTACGTAACACATACATTTATTAATGGCAAGTGTTAAATTTAAAAGAAAGAGAATTATTGATGCAAATGTTAAGATAAATATGTAAGATTTAAGAGTTTGTGCGATTGTGTTAGAACAATCGTTGGATGCTGCAAATTTTTTGGTTTATATGGTTATGAAACACAAATAATTATTATTCTAGTTCTTCTCAATGAGATTTTTTCAACTTGCGTCAGTAATATTAGGGTAGGATGGGGCTGACATATGTTTGATATAAAAGCTAAATAAAAAAATACAATAGCAAAATCTTGCACCTTTGATGTTACTGCCCATTGCATATTTAAGAGTATTTTACCTCTGGTGTAAGCTAAATTAATATACTGCCATCTATCGAAAGCTATATGAGGTGATCTACATCTTCTTCTTTATGGCATCATATAATTTGTTAAATATTCTCCAATTTTTAAAAAAATTATGTATATATTTTGAAAATGCTTATCAAAATATTTATAAACATGTGTTTACTTAAAGGCCGTCATTGTGATCTTATTGAATCATAGAATAACATGGGTCACCAGCGGATCAGAGGGAAGTAGCATTCCTCTATGTGAAAGTATAAGTCCATGCGGTCCTATGCATACAATAAAACTGGTTGCAGTAGAACTGCTCACTAGACTATATCTAGTATTGTGCCAAAAAGATTTTTGCCACGTCATATTTACAGAAAGATTTGACTTTTCATATATAAGTAATTTTTTAATGACATTATTGCTATTTATTTCTTTTAAACTTAAAAATTACAATATGAGCGGTCGTGTTATTTCAGATTTGATTAACAACACAGGTTGCTCGCCCTCATACAATATGTGGATCGGTCAGGTGTCTGATCAGTCTGTATCTGAGTTGTCAGTCAAATGATACTATTATAAAGTTATAATGTATCTATCTGTGTGTATAAAATTGTTAATTTATTATTTTAATTGTATGTGTGTTGTGTGAGTTTTGTAGTGGCAGAAGATTGTTTTTGAGTGCTCAGATTTCCCTCCGCAAATAATGATAGGACAGTTCTGTATCAGGGAAAAACGCCATGGCTACTCTCCTGCGGTAAGCAGGTGGTCCGTGTTGCTCTATGTATTGAATAGTAAAAATCACAATTGCATCCTGATCAAAATACCCACATTGTTTTTGACAGTAAATTTTTTGATGTCTCACTACGTCAAAGAAATAGATGTCTTTCGAGTGGCTGAATGATGTATAACTTACATTATTTAAGGCTTTTAATCATTAATGAAACAGTCATCAATAGATTAGGTGGACACTCAATATACTGTTAAAACCAAAGAATTGTATGTATACTACTAGACTGGCAATTCAGAACTAAAACTGTGTCACAGCTGTGGATCATGTGGGTGGATAGCGAGATGCATAATCTATACAAATAAATAAAATTGAAGTATCTGTTTGTAATGTCAAAATTACAGCTTTTTACTAAATATATATGAAAGTATATACGGTATTAATAACCAAAATACAATTTATAAAGTTTTTGTCTGTCTGTGTCTGTTTGTTCCGGCTAATCTCCGAAACGGCTGCACCGATTTTGATGGAATTTTGACTGGCAGATAACTGATGTCACAAGGAGTAACTTAGGCTACTTTTACTTTAGAAAAAGAATCAGGGTTCCACGCAAAAAATTAAAACTCCAAATAACACGCGAGCGAAGTCACGGGGAACAGCTAGAAGATAACAGACGAGATGCATAAATTAAGATGACAGCTGTATTTTCATTTACGACTCACTTTCGGAATGGCTAAACTGATTGTGATGAAACTTTGAACAGATAGAGAGCTATGCCAGGAAAGATCTAAGCAATATTTTATCAGACATCCTTGAAGATTTAAAAAAAAACGAAAATTTGATTAAACAAATAGTCTTTGAATATCTTAAATCTAATTAATGCTACATTAATGGATCCTATCCAAGTGAAGCCGGGGTGTGTCGCTAGGCTATAAATGTAAAAGGTTTGCTTTAACACAAAGAATATATGTTTTAAATAATTTACTAAATATTCATCTAACCTCAAGTTTAGTTTTAACAGACATTTTAAAATGAATGATTATTATGTATGATAATGTGAAATTTTGGTGTTATATGAATTAGTAAAATTGGAGGTGTATGTACTCATTTGAAATATTAAACACTCCCAGGGAATGATTTAATCAAAATCAAAAATATCTTTATTTCACAATGACTAAATGGATATGAATAAATGTGAAGAATCTGTGGTTGCTAACCCACTTGCCAAGCGTGCAACTATGGCAAATATCCCCCATCTGAGGCAATATATTGGGGAGACCTATGGTATTGTAAACAGTGGACTTATCGATTGGCTGTAATGTTAAATAAATGCACATCAGAACATTGGTTCTGTTTATTTCTGCTATTTGCTATCTGCTAATTATTGAAGTAATTACACTTATATTATATTGGTACATGACACATGAAATGAATGTAAGAAAATATTGCTCTAAATAACGTTTATATACGTTTTTGATAAATGTCTATATCTTTTTAAATCTTGTAGAAAAATGTAGTACCCATAAATGTGTATTTTATACATATAAATGAGGTGCACTTTTAAATTTTAATAATAGTTATTTATTGACATTATATTTTTACAAGAAGTAACTGAGGCAAGAAAAAAGTCATAAAATGTTTGATGACATAATGATTACAACTAGATTTGCAACAAATATTCGGCTACTTTTATCCTATTTGGTCCAATACCGAATAATAATTAACCTGGTAAAATGAAAATATTTTTTTTTTGTAATCATTATGTTAGTCATACTTACATAATCATCTTCCATATTATAAAAATTAAAAGAAGAACTACCAGATAAATGTCTATGCACTGGAATTATCGTAATTAAAGTGAAAGATAATGGTGCAGAAAGACTAAGCAGTAGTTTCTTTCCTTCTCGTAGACAGTCCCACCTTCAGAGAATAGATGCTAAGAAGAATAAACATATTTCTCTTCCTGGCCAAATACTTTTGCCTAATATTCGGTTATTCGGCCAGGAAGTCCGTAGAATATTCGATATTTGGCGTTTGGTTAATTATACTATTCGTTGCAAGTCTAATTACAGCCTATCATCATTTCAAAACATAGGTAATATTGTCTCGTTAATAAAAAAATCTTTAGTAAATAAAAATACACAGATGGGGCTCTGGCTACAAACTGATGGTGGAAAATCTATCAAAACTGTTTAACCCATATTGCACAGTCTGGTGATGAGGAACAACATTACAAGAGTAAAGTTATATACTCAGTATGAAAAACGTGGCATTGTTGGAAAATTCCTCTTAAAATTTACAAACTAAACTAACAATTTTCTACATACAGTATTTTAATTCAAAAGTATCAATAGTGTGTGCAACTGTTGATTATAAAAAAAGGAACATTTCAGGTTTCTTAAAAACATTAAAATTACTAATTGTAGGTTTTTATGTTTTAATCACGTGATAACAAATTTTCTAAATAGCTAAGTCCAACATCAAAAACATCTTGAGGGAATACAACTTGCTTGGGTCACATTTGAGAAATTACAACATTTTTTTGCAAGTGGTGCTGCTCCTTTAGATCTCACCCTAATACAAAAGTAAAACATAGCCTGGAAAAGCTATTCATTATTATGGGTAGTTTATATTTAAAATATAACAACTAATCTGGCAACTAAGGAAGTAGTTTATACTAAATTTGCATTGCAGTTGTTACAAAAAGCTGATCTATAAAAATTATCAATTAATAACTTGTGTTCTAAAATATTCCAAAATTTGAAGTATGTTTGAAATTGTTATAAAAGACTAAACTTGGTTTACCCAAACAAAAATAACTTTCAAAAGCATTATTTCACCATATCACTACTTAATTTATCGCTATAGTTATTATTTTTTCCATAAACTGATTAAGTATTTATGGTCTTGTAAGATTAACTGCTTGTTCACGTTTCACATCAATGTAACATCCTAAGTAATTCCTCTTCTAAATAGAACATTAAATTGAAGAAATGTTTTTAGTTATATATATGTTTATTTTAAATGTCTATATTTGGTATATCATTGATTTGTACTAAATGTGCATGTGACTACATAGTGTGCAACATTATTGTCTCCAACAGTTCTAAGATTTTCAAGGTGTCAAGGTTAAACATTATGGTAAAGAAAAGGATCCAACACTGGTCTCAGGTTACTGGTTAAACAGTACCTAGGTGTCATACAATCTTCGTGCGCCGTTCAGAGTGCCCCCAGCCTGCCCAGTGTAAACTAAACGGTCTTCTTATTGTTTTAGTGGCGGCGGCAGGGGGGGTGGTTATAATAAAGGTAAAGCTCCTCGTGATAAGCGAGTGGTGCTGTTGTCATATTTTTAATATGTTACTTATGAAGGGCTGCCAAAACACATTCATTACATACTTTGTTAATTTATGGTATTACTTGGCTGTTGACAATTTATAGTTTTAAAAGTATTGTTAAATTTCAAGTACAGTTAGTGTTGTGCATGGCTGTTCATGAATAAATGGAAGATCATTTTAAATAGCTAAATTTAAAGAAATGGATTATATCAGGTTATGTTTTATGTCTGTGATAAAATTGTGAGAATTCAAAAGAAGTCAAATGGCAAAAGAAATTTATGAGTGAAAAGTGTGGAAAAGTGAATTGTGGGTGGGAGAAACACAGTATTTAATATTAGAAATATCTTAATTTATCCCCAAGTTTTGCATCAATTTGCTAAATCTTTGTTGGTTCTACATTATAATAACTGGGGTAAAATAGCCATGTATTTGCTTAGCTTTATAAACTTAGCGAATAAGGTGTCTTCTGTGTCAGTGATTAATATTATGTTATTTGATTTTCATTTAAAGATTACACAGGAATTTTAAGTGATTTTATCACTCGTTTTCAGGATTAAAAAAATAACATATCATATAGCTAATGATAAATGAACTACTTGTCAGCAGTCTTCATTTTTAGATACATAAAAATGTTTAATGAGAACATATTTATACAGAGTAACTGGTATTGAGTCAAAATCTCTTCACTTTGTAGAGTAAAAAAGTTTAGTTTTTAAGTTTAATTTCTGGTACTTGCAAATTACATTATTAGCATCTCTCATTTATGACTCAAATGTTCCAGAAACACTGTATATTTATTTGGCAGCCCTATTTCAAGTTTAGTTATTTTTAAAAGAAAATTTGAAACTTTATGTTGATGGTTGCGTTTTACGTAATATAAATCTCAATGGCTTGTTGAGGAGGGGTTAAACTTTGAGTATTATCACTAAGCGAACTCAAACGGATGTATCTACGAATGTGTAATGGTTTATAATTTTGAATTAGTAACTTTCAAGGTTCCAAGGATCAGTTGTCTGACAGAAATTGTTTAGATTTTAAAATGAAGGCTAATACAATTTGCTGCTAATATTAAATAATGTTATTATATATTGTCATTACAAAGGGCAAGGAAAAGTGTAATAAAGTAAAACTTATAATATGAAAAGGTATACTGGAAAAAAGCATTATGGGTAAACTAATATTGGTTCAACATGTATAGAATAATATTGTTTTATTCAACTATGATATTGACAAGTTTGATTTTTTATTTGAAGTTGATGAATAATTAAACAACGATATAGGGTAAAATGTCGTGTATTATTTTTTTTTATTCTATGATTATATAGTTACAATGTGTATAGGTGGCGGCGGCGGTGGCGGTGGAGGTGGCTATGGTGGTGGAGATCGGGGTGGAAGTGACATGATCACTCAAGAAGATACAGTTTTTATTCAAGGCATGAACCCATCTACCACTGAAGATGAATTATGTCAACATTTTGGTGCCATTGGTATTATTAAGGTATAAAGTTGGGTTATAATACATGTATTTTTAGCTTGCATGTTGCATGCAATATAATTTTTTTTCCTTTCTTCAATTTCAGATGGATAAAAAAACGCAGAGACCTAAAGTTTGGATGTATAAGGACAAAGCTACCGGACAGCCTAAAGGGGAAGCCACAGTCACTTATGAAGATAGCAATGCTGCTTCATCTGCTATTCAGTGGTTTGATGGCAAAGAATTTAATGGCGTGACAATAAAAGTGTCTTTAGCTCAAAGACAGAATACATGGGGTGGAGGCAAAGGAGGAGGCGGAGGTGGATTCCGCGGAGGCCGCGGTGGCGGAGGCGGCGGTGGCGGTGGTGGCGGAGGACGGAGTGGTGGCGGAGGAGGCCGAGGTGGCGGCGGCGGCGGTGGTGGCGGCCCGCCGTCCGGTAACCGCGAGGGGGACTGGCGGTGTCCGAATCCTAGTTGTGGAAATACCAACTTCTCGTGGAGGAAAGCATGTAACAGATGTAACGAAGAGAAACCCGGCGGCGGAGGTGGTGGTGCGCCGTCCGGCGGGGAGCGCGGGGGAGGCCCGGGTCGCGGCGGGCGCGGCGGCGGCGGCCGCGGTGGCGGCGGCGGCTGGGGCGGCCGCGGCGGCGGTGGCGGCGGCGACCGCGGGGGCGACCGCGGGGACAGGCGTTACGGCGGTGGCGGAGACCGCAGTGGTGGTGCCGGCGGAGGCGCCATGAGAGGAGACGGAGGGTAAAGCTTTTTAAGAGTAGTAAAGTAATTTAAGAGTTTCAATTTCCTTTAGTAGTTATTATGTCAAAATAAAAAAGGCAAAATTTTAAACAAAATAGACACAATATCAAAGGAACAAATTAAACATATTTTAAATCTTTACCACAGCCGCTTACAAAGGACATACAAGTAGTCAGTCATGTTGTTAGACGTAGTAGGAAAAGCCAACGTAAACAATTAAATTGCTAGGGTTGTCACAACGGGTAGTAATAAAAAATAAACCTGATATTTTTAAATTCCACGTTTAAATAATTAAATAAACAAAATAATTTGACACAATGTACATACTTGGTAGAATGTTTCGTAATTTAAAGTATTGGCTCTTCATATTGTTCTGAATATTATTGGTTTGTTAAATTTTGTGATCTATCTATATCAGTATATTATCATTTTTTTGTCAGATGTCAATACTTCATTAGCATTTCCGTAGTTAGTCTTTTAGACACCCAGGAAAAATTGAAATGCTTTACATTGCTATGTAATACATGCAAAAGTAATTTAATTATTTTGTTACAGGGGCCGAGACAGGCAGAGACCATATTAATATTAACGTTATATTAGCATTTTAGTATTAGATATTTGTAATAAGTTTTTCATTGCTTGTGACTGATTTATATAGAATTTTCAACTTATTCCATAGCTAAAACATTTGACAACTTTTTTTTTAATATTCTTAGCAGTAATTGTAAGTATTTATACATTACTCCTTCTGTGTATCATCTGTGTAAGGAGTAAATTAGACTCAAACCGGCAATAATATTTTCTCAGCATTACACTTGAATAAATCATGTCTTCAGTAGAAAACACTTAATCTTAATTATAATGTGACCGCAAACTTCATTGTTTTAATATCATTAAATGTAAGTCTGAAATAGTTACAAGTCTTTATTTTTAAATATATAGTATGTAAAATAAAAAGTGAATCTTCCTATTTGGATGATTTTGTTACATAACAAGTAATGGATAATAATACATGTGTGTATGTATTAGTTAAGAGAGATAACTCAAGATAACTGAAATCTATTCTCATCCATGTTTATGTACACTAAGAAATTTATGTTGTATGTGTAATAAAAAATTGTGAATAAATTCTTTAACGTTTATTAAATTTAACACTTCATTCCCTAAAATCTTGAAATAAAAGTTTATAAAATATTCGAAACTATAGATAAAAACATGATTGTATATCTTCTGAGCATGTTGCACACCCCTCGCATATTGCAATTTACGTATCAACTATGACATGTTTTTGTCTGGCTCGGATTCGAGTTGTGCAATTACAAAATCTTAGCTTATATTAGCAGCCCGCCCCGGCTTTGCCTGGGTTGAAAAATTATCTATATAGGTATAATATATTATTTCAGATTTAGCTTAATAGCTATAAGTAACTTATTTTAAAACTTCCTCATATAACACATTTTTGTTCCATTTTTCTGTGGCTTTAACCCTTTCAGTGCCTTGCCCGCCCAACTTTTTATTTACATGCCGAGCCCGCCCATGGGCAGGCAGATTTCAAACCTTAATAAGCATGCCAAATAACATGAAAAAAATTAATTGATTCATTACCAAAACGGCCTGCGGGGATATCTAAGATTTTAGAAAAGGACAATTCTGACCTGTCATGCCGACCCCTATGGCTACGATAGAGTGGAATAATGAAAAAGTTATTACGTTTCTTGAGATTCTGCAAACAGAGCCATGCTTAGGCAATGATAAAATATATTCATATAATAAAAATTTACACTCATCAAACATAGAGTAGCAGCGTCAACGTTCATCTTGCTTGAAATTCAAGGAATATTAACGTAAAGTGACCATACGTCCCTTTTCTCGGTCACCTGTCCCGTTGTCCCCAAACAAATCTCCGGGACGCAAAATAGTCCCGTTGTCCTAAACCGCGAGAAAATTTAAAACTATGAAGTTCGTCAGACATGAACGGTGCGAGAGCGGGACCGACCAAAAAATAACCCGAATGGGATAATTTCAAAGTTTTCGCAGAAATTCGTTGGGTGATTCAAACATTTCTCACCAACAATCTTCAACATAAATTTTTTTTGTATTTTAATCCAATATATTTATGTCTACCTGGTACAAATGCTCAAAAAGTATTATTCTTTCTATTATGAATAAATTGTGGACGTCTGAAAAAAAATCACAGGTTCCAGGTCTAAAGGCGATGTTGATAACAAAAATCTATGTAAAAAAAACTTGCCCTTATTTAAAATCATCACCAACTTTATTAAAGCAAATTTGTTCTACTGAAAAATATAAATATAATTAAAAAAATATGTTGCATTTAATAATTACTGTCTGGGGAACTTTGCTTTAATGAAGCTGGTGAACTGGTGATTAATTTTTATTTTCACAATTTGTTGAAATTAAAATAATTATAATTAATGTAACAAACTTCTAGGCATGTAATATGCACCTACTCTAACTTATATTCTTATGCTGGGGCCACAGTAACGAGAAACGTCAATGCCCAAAAACGCAACAATTATTGCCTTAATTTTAACGCGATAAACTGAGTGGCCACACTTGGGTCGGTCAACGTCATTTCAATTTCAATGCCGTTGAACGGCGTTAAAGTAAACTGACCATTTATTTATTAACTCAAAACGGGACATGGGTTTATTTATACTCCCCAGTTAACAGATTAATAATAAAAAAAAAAATGTTATTTATTTAATAACTGTAACTTTATACAATTAGTGTTCACTATAATTATAATCGCATTAATTATAATTATTTTTATTTTAACAAATTGTGAAAAATAAAATTAATCACCAGTTCACCAGCTACATTAAAGCAAAGTTCCTTAGAGAGTAATTATTAAATGCCACATATTTTTAATTATGTTTATATTTGTCAGTGGAATGAATTTGCTTTAATAAAGTTGGTGTTGATTTTAAATAAGGGCAAGTTTTTTTTACATAGATTTTTGTTATCAACATCGCGTTTAGAACTGGAACCTGTAAGTGATTTTTTTTCAGACGTCCACAATTTATTCATAATAGAAAAATACTTTTTCTACTGGAGCATTTGTACCAGGTATACATAAAATATATTCGATTAAAATGCAAGAGAATTTATGTTGAAAATGTTGGTGAGAAATGTTTGAATCACCCAACGAATTTTTGCGAAAACTGAAATCATCTTATTCGGTTATTTTTTGGTCGTTCCCGCTCTCGCACCGTTCGTGTCTGACGAACTTCATAGTTTTAAATTTTCTCGCGGTTTAGGACAACGGGACTATTTTGCGTCCCGGAGATTTGTTTGGGGACAACGGGACAGGTGACCGAGAAAAGGGACAGTCCCGTTCAAAACGGGACGTATAGTTACTTTACGTAAATATTCCTTGAATTTCAAGCAAGATGAACGTTGACGCTGCTACTCTATGTTTGATGAGTGTACATTTTTATTATATGAATATATTTTACTATTGCCTAAACATGGCTCTGTTTGCAGAATCTCAAGAAAAGTAATAACTTTTTCTTTATTCCACTCTATCGTAGCCATACGTGCGACTCCGTTGCGCTCACCATGCACAACGAGAAACGTAGTGTGGCCGCTTCAACGCGTTAATTCGTGCGTTAATCTCTGATGTACCGACACTCGAGTTATCGTTCAACGGGAAACGGCATTGTTCTTGCCGTAGTAGAATTATCGCGTTAAGTGATGGCCACACCTACATTCAACGCCCATCAACGCGATAATCAACGGCATTTCTCGTTAGTGTAGCCCGGGCATTATGCTCGGGCCACAGTAACGAGAAACGTCAATGCCCATAAACGCAACAATTATTACCTTAATTTTAACGCGATAAACTGAGTGGCCACACTTGGGTCGGTCAACGACATTTCAATTTCAATGCCGTTGAACGGTGTTAAAGTAAACTGACCATTTATTTATTAACTCAAAACGGGACATGGGTTTATTTATACTCCCCAGTAAGCAGGTTAACAATAAAAAAAATTTGTGTTATTTATTTAAAAACTGTAACTTTATACAATTAGTGTTCACTATAATTATAATCATATTTATTTTTATTTTAACAAATTGTAAAAAATAAAAATTAATCACCAGTTCACCAGCTTCATTAAAGCAAATTTCCTCGGACAGTAATTATTAAATGCAACATATTTTTGAATTACATTTATATTTGTCAGTGGAACAAATTTGCTTTAATAAAGTTGGTGATGATTTTAAATAAGGGCAAGTTTTTTTTACATAGATTTTTGTTATCAACATCGCCTTTAGAACTGGAACCTGTAAGTGATTTTTTTTCAGACGTCCACAATTTATTCATAATAGAAAAATACTTTTTCTAGTGGAGCATTTGTACCAGGTAGACATAAAATATTTTCGATTAAAATGCAAGAGAATTTATATTGAGTATGTTGGTGAGAAATGTTTGAATCACCCAACGAATTTTTGCGAAAACTGAAATCATCTTATTCGGTTAATTTTTGGTCGGTCCCGTTCTCGCACCGTTCGTGTCTGACGAACTTCATAGTTTTAAATTTTCTCGCGGTTTAGGACAACGGGACTATTTTGCGTCCCGGAGCTTTGGGGACAACGGGACAGGTGACCGAGAAAAGGGACGTATGGTCACTTTACGTTAATATTCCTTGAATTTCAAGCAAGATGAACGTTGACGCTGCTACTCTGTGTTTGATGAGTGTAAATTTTTATTATATGAATATATTTTATCATTGCCTAAGCATGGCTCTGTTTGCAGAATCTCAAGAAACGTAATAACTTTTTCATTATTCCACTCTATCGTAGCCATACGTGCGTTAATCTCTTTGATGTACCGACACTCGAGTTATCGTTCAACGACAAACGGCATTGTTCTTGCCGTTGTAGAATTATCGCGTTAAGTGGTGGCCACACCTATATTCAACGCCCATCAACGCGATAATTAACGGCATTTCTCGTTAGTGTAGCCCGGGCATTATGCCGGGAAGGAAATAGTACGCGCAGAACTGGATAAGATGATAGAACAAGAAATTATCGAAGAAGCAGAATCTGAGTGGGCTTCACTAGTCGTGTTAGTGCCCAAGAAAAATGGAGAAACACGATCTTGTGTTGCCTATCGGAAATTGAATTCGGTGACCCGCACAGATAAATACCCACTCCCGCTTATTGACGAATTGGTATCCTCAACAAAGGCCAACTGTATTATGTTAATATTTGATCTGAAAGCAGGTTCAATAACCGATCTGAACGATCCGAACGATCCTCTTCTGCAAGTTCCACCTGCACTGCGCGTACTATTTCCTTTTTCGCAGGAGTCAATCGATAAGGCGGCATTGCAATAGCTGCATTGTCTTCCGTGTTAATACGATGTACCGCAAATTTAGTGGCATCTCCCCCTGGAGTGAACATATCTTTATTTTCTATTAACATAGACGAAATCATTTCACGTTCAGAATCGTTAAGCATTGTGCCTTTGTTATCACGAAGAGCTATTGACGAACACGCTAGAGACTTACCCTCATTTTCGAAAAGTAACGGAAAATATGTCCCTGTTACATCTCT